TTATGGGCTTGTCTGCTCTGAACATTTCCTGTGGATGGATTCACACAATACGTAGTCTTTTGTGACTGGTCTTTTAAAAACCATTTACTTATTGTTGGGAACTGAACCCAAGGCCTTGTGGATTTTATGCAAGCACTATTGAAAACTATATCCTTAGTGCCTTTTTTTTTCTTACTACAGTATTTTCCATTATTATTATTTCCAATTATTTCCATTATTATTGCATATATCAGTACTTCATCCCTGTTCAAGCTAATATTCCATCATCCTGTCCAGTCACATTCATCCGTTCGTTGGTTGACAGGCATTTCAGTTGCTTTGATATTTTGGCTTTTAGCAGTAATGCTGCTGTGGAGATTTTGATATGAACATAACTTTTGATATGGACATATGTTATGTTTCTCTTAGGCATAGGCCTGAGGTATTTTCAGACTGTTGTCCCAAGAAGCTATAGCCTTCTGACCTCCTGATTTCATTCTGTATTATAGTTAAAATTCTCTGAATCCTTGATAATGTTTGTCGACAATCTGACTTTTTACAGTGGTCATTTCAGTGACACAAACGGGTGTCTCCTTGTGGGTTGGAACTGCATCTCTGGAAAGACCAAGGTTGCTGGCCATCCTCTCCAGTGCTTTCGGGTGGTTTATCATTGGAGAAAGGTCTGCTCAGATCTTCTGCCTGTTATTTCACTTTGTCACTCATCTTTTTATTTCTCCTTTGATCTTTCTCATGAAGATCTTATTTCTGAAAGTTATCTTCTTGATAGTGTTGAGAAATCTTGGGTCCTGGGTTTCAGTCCCAGCTCCCATGTGTACTGAGGGAGGCCAGAGGGGTTGGATCCCCTCAGGCTGGAGTTACAGGTGGTTATAAGCTGCCAAGTGAGTATTGGGAACTGAATTTGGAAGAGCAGTAAGTGTTCTTAACCACTGAGCCAGCTCCCCGGACAGTGTCTTAATTTTGAGGCATAGTGGTTCTTTATGTAGTCTTAATACATGTTCCTATGATTTTGTTAAAAAAAAATTTGCTCCTATCCTATTCTCTGAGGTGTCTTTTCATCTTCTTGATTGTGCCCTTTGAACCGACAATTTTATACACAGATTTCATTCTTCTCTTCTGTTGCTGTGCTTTCGTGTTGTCTAATTCAAGGTCAGGAGGATTTTACTCCTCCCTGTGTGTGTGTGTGTGTGTGTGTGTGTGTGTGTGTGTGTGTGTGTGTGTGTCCTGTCTAGAAGGTTACCCCTCTTGCACTTACTTGCCTTGGTACACTTGTTGGAAATTAATTGATTGAAAATGTGAAGGCTAATTTCACTGTCACGTCTTTCCTGCCGATCTGATGTTGGTCCTTACTGTGAGAGCCTTGTAGCATCTGCAAGGACTGCAGTCTCCTGAGTTCCAGAGCTTCATAGGAAGTTTTAAGAGCTGAAACTGGGAGTTCCTTTGCTTCCATAAGAGTGCTTTGGGTTCCCCTGTGAGGTTTGAGGTTGTATCAATTTTTATAAAAAGAGCTGAAGTCTTGTTAGGGATTGTGCTGGGTCTATACATTAACCTAGGAAAAATTGACATCTTTTAAGTGAGTGTAGGGTGGGTGTGTGTGTGTGTGTGTGTGTGTGTGTGTAAAAGCCAGAGGTAAGCTCGAGATATCTTTTGCCCTCCACCTTATTTTTCGATGCAGTGTCTCTCACTGAACTTGGACCCCAACAGTTGAGGTGGCCTGTCAGTGACTTTGGCGATCACCTTTTTCCAACCCTCCGAACACCGATATCACAGTCGAGTCCTGCCACCTGCAGCTTTTTCCCTGGGTGTTGGGGATTCAAGCTCAGGTTGTCTTTGAATAGAGATAATTCCAATCATATGCTCTTACACTGTCAGAGTTCTATTTTTTTTAGTTCGTTGGCTAAAATTCATTCTGGTTCTAATCCTACTGTGACTAGGATTGCGTGAGTAAGTTCACTTTCCTGTTGGGTGTCTGTGCAGATGGTGGAGCCGGAGGAGTGACCTAACTCGCTTACACTACGGTAGTCATTGCTCCGCGTTCATGTGTGGGGCCGGTGGTGGTGGTTTTGTCACCTGCAGATAGATAGTCCTACTTCTTTTCTAGTCTAGGTGGCTGTTACTTCGTTTTCTTATTTAGTGCTCTGGCTAAGTTTTCCAATGCAAGGGTGATTAGACGTGCGATGTGAATCTTCTTAAAGGTCCCGTGTTCTAGAACTTAGGTAAGGTCACTAGTTGCAGACCTTGTGTGCCTGTGAGACGCTGTTAGATATGCACACACTGTCCTGTGTCTCCTGACAGACTTTAGTCATGCACAGACCTTTTCACTAACTATCAACTTACAAATGGGTTTATCTAGAGGAAATATATATGGGTTAGATAAATCTGTAAATCCATCTTCTCAGTTCAGTGAGCAGTGTGCTGATTAGAAACGTAAAGCACGGCCCTTACCTTGCAGCTGAGCAGAAGCATTACTCAGTGACCCCATGATTCTCGCGCCTCTAAGGCAGGGATTGTCAACCTTCCTGATGCTGTCACCCCCCCTTGATACAGTTCCCCATGTTATGGTGACCTTCAACCATAAAATTATTTTCATTGCTGCTTCATAACTGTAATTTACGGTTGTGAATCCTAAGTATCAGATATGCAGGATATCAGATATGTGATCCCCAAAGGTCATGGTCATGACCCACAGATTGAGAACCACTCTTTGATTTTCTTGTCTATTAAGAATTAAATAGAGCGCCAGGTGGTGGTGGCGCATGCCTTTAATCCCAGCACTTGGGAGGCAGAGGCAGGCGGATTTCTGAGTTCGAGAGTTTGAGGCTAGCCTGGTCTACAGAGTGAGTTCCAGGACAGCCAGGGCTACACAGAGAAACCCTGTCTCAAAAAACCAAAAACCAAACCAAAACAAAAAAAAAAGAATTAAATAGAGCAATTTTGGTGCTGAAAGAGACTATCCTCCCTCCTTTTATAATAGAGTAGTTCAATGTAAGTAAAAGCCTACCAAGAGAATACTGTTGGTATGAAAGGCCTTCGGTTACTGGGGGGTTGGGCAAGTTGGGCTCCAGGACCTCCAGAGCTTCCCCTGGACTTGGAAGTGAGAGGCAGTGGATTTCAGTGGTCCTTTGGCTCTGATACACATGCTGTGGGGTCAGCTATCCTGCTTTCCTCCAGAGTAACCATGTGGCAGCGGCCTGGAAGCCAGCTAGCCCGCTTTCTCACTGATGGAATCAGAGGGCTCTTAGAATCTAAGGCCGTCATCTCTGCTGAGCAGCCAGTGCCTGTTCCGAGTGCCTTTGACCTTGCCATCTTCAGACTGTGGTGGCAATCTTGTGTGACGTAAGGGTTCTGTAGGGGTTCTTGCTGTGTGAGGTAAGGGTTCTGTAGGGCTCAGCAGTGAGTCGGCTATATTCTGTTTAAAATCTGTCAAGAAGAGGAGTCACAGATGAGAAAGGAAAAACATTCCCACATTCGTTCTTGTGTTGTTCTCAGCTAAGCTGTATCTTCTCCCCACAGCCCTTCCATACTGCAAGGTCAGAGAGAGAGAGAATATGAATGGGTGGATATGAATATCTGATTATGAACAAGTAACTGAGATACGGGAATGTCGGAGGCTCAGGAAGGCCCCTTCCCTAAAACTGCATGTTAAAGCTCTGGGGCAGTGTGCTGGGAAGAAACAGCTTTCCAAAGTTAGGAACCTCCCCACTGTTCTATAGCTGTGCACATGTGGGTAGCTTGTACATAGATGTCATTAGGTAGCTCTTCTGGGCCTAGACACAAAATTGGAGTAAAGAGCTACTCCATCAGTAAGGACCCAGGGCGGCGATTCCAAGATTCTTAGCTGGTACATGCAGTTCTGACTAGTGACTAATTAGAGTAGCAAGGCACATTTATAACTAACTGGTAATAATTTATTCTGCACCGCAAAATGAAGACGAGCCCTTGCCCCATGCTTGGAACTGCACCTAGCCTCTTGCCATTAGTGCAGAAGAGAGCCCAATGGTTTGCGTCTGCAAGTCTGGAAAGTTGTGGCATGTCTTACAGTAGACGATGTGAACACTTTTCAGTTAGTTGCCTTTTAATGTGCTGGCCTCTGACTCTCTTTTTCCCTGTGTTTTGAACTCAGATTTTGGTAGGTACAGGTACCCAGATTTGAATCCAGACCCTGCCATACTCTGTGTGCGATCTTAAGTTCTTCATGCCACACCTCATTACCTAGAGAAAGTGATAGCTTATCTCCCCATAGGGTGGTAATGTCGAATCCATGAGTTATTTGCACATAACATAGAAAGTGCTTAGAGAAGTACTGTCCTGTAGAGTGTTACCAGGATTTTAGATGTTTAAGTTTAAAGTAGTTGAAATAATAAAAATTTACAACTGCAGCCACTACTGCCACCCCTACTCCTGTACTCAAAGGTGGATTACCTGTAGTTGTCTTATATTAAAAAGTATTAAATGTGTCCTACCTCTCCACCCCCAACACACACATTCCTCTGGGGATGTTAAGGGCAGTTGGAGAAAGAGGTCTTGTTTATAGGCATCCTGTAAAGTCTTTTCCTGGTTCCCCTGGGCTGTGCTTCCTCCTATATGTAGTTGGTTTTCCAATACTTCTACTTCCAGGAAGTATATTCCAGTACTTCCCGGAAGTATTGGAAAACCAACCACATTCTATTCAAGTGACTTAGCTAGATTCAGTGCTTAATGAAAAGCCCTCATTTTAAGACTAGCTTTCAGAAGACAGATTTCTGTTTTCTTTTCTTCAGTTTGGATGAGAAACAGCCAGGGACAAGTTGCCTCAGAAGGAACATACAATTTCAAGACGTAGCACTCTGTCTAAGCTCTCTCTTCTGTTTCGTTCCTCAGTGTTCTGGAACTATAGGGTGGTCTCTTGGCGTGGTTTTGCGCTCATAGTTAACATGGGACAAGTTCGATGTACAGTCCGACAGTTAAACAGAACATCCTGCCAAGTTTGTCTAACACCTCGTTTCTTCTCTCCTGCCCAACAGGTATCTCAGACGAGGATATTATCAACATCACTCTACCCACTGGGGTTCCAATCCTGCTGGAGCTGGACGAGAACCTGCATGCTGTTAGGCCACACCAGTTCCTGGGCAACCAGGATGCCATCCAGGCTGCCATTCAGAAAGTGAATGATCAAGGGAAAGTGAAACAAGGCAAACAATAAAACGTGGCCAGGAACGAGCGCGGGGTGGCTTGCAGTGCGTTCTGTGTGGGCTTCTCTCCCTCCTCCGACTGGCCCACTTTCCCCAAGGCTAGGCTGTGTGGTAGAGTTCGTGTAGATAACTAGGTAATTTATCATGGCCCAGAGGTGACCTTTGGATGTCTGAAGCCTAAGTTAACTTTTCTGCTATTCCCATTTGAATTAACTTTGCAAAGTAGTAACTAGTGGGGTTTGACCAAGGTTGTTTTGTGTTTTGGAGACAGGAGAGTAACAAGTGGAGGTGAAATTGTTTATCATTTAACAAGTCATTACTGAGTCACCACTGACAGGCGCGATTCCAGTGAGGAGGTCACCGTTTGATTAAGTAATACTTCTCGAGAAGAGTGAAGACTACTAGGTAGCACTTGAGCAGTTTAGACCAGAGGCCCATGGAATGGCAGAGTCACAGATGGCAACTGAGCACCACAATAGCGCAAGGCCCTTTGATTTCTAGCCCAGTGCCATCCTCTCTGCCATCAGTAGAAATCAACTTCATTCAGTTAGAAGGACCAGGATGTACACAGCTGTAGCCGTTTATATTCTTCTATTTCATTGTTAGCTTTTGAACTTTAATCTTTGGGGATTTAACAGTTAGTTTAAAATAAAGCTTTGTGATTGCAAACTACACGTGCAAGGTGTCTCGGGTGTGTGATGAATTTTAGACAGGCCTCTGAGCCTGCCCTAGACCATGTTTCCTGTAACACTCCAAGGGTTACACTTAGTTCAGCACAGGCTACTCCTGAAGTGAAGGCTGGCTTGGGAGAAGTTGATCGTGGTGCATGTGATTTTATTCCCCTGAGCCATATAAGAGCTTTTCATGTACATTTTGTTCCTCAGCTAAGTACAAAGGATTATGGTCTGTATCCTAGTTTAGGTGAGCTGGGAACAGAAGTGACCTGTGTTTAGGTGCTATGTGACTGTCACCATTTCTTTAGGCTGTTTCCTAAAAAGTAAGAGCAGACATAGTACTTACTATAGATTTTAGCATTTTTCATGTTTCTCCAGGGGTAGATTAGTTTACTTGTAGCCATTTCAAAATAAAATGGGCCTTTGATGGAAACCAGTTTGAAATCCTTGTTGCTGCTTGGTATCCAGTTTGGTTTTGGTTTTTGATTCAGCATCGTTAGGGATTGGCAGAAAAGATGGCTGAAGAGATGAACAAAGCATTTGGAATCTTAGAGACTTCTCTAGGCGATTTTTGCTAGTACTTTCTGATATTTACAGATATATATGTGAGCAGAAGGGTTATTTATGGGGGGCAGGGAGTTACATAAACTTATTGTTAACAACTGTAGTGCCCCAGCCTCAGGACCAGCTAGTGAAGCAGTTCCCTTTGCCTTGGTAACATAGATCTGGGATTTCTGGAAGTGGGTCTGACCTGCATCCTAATCTCGGCCTCTTTCTGAAACTGGGACAGACATGAGCAATTTTTTCTTCTAAAGCAAAGGAAGACAGCCTCTCTATAAATGTCCCTGGAGTAAATCATGGTGGGTTCCCTGGGGCCAGCTTTGCTATGCTCAGTGTTGTAAGAGGAGGCAGAAGCCCAGCACCTTCAGTGTGTCGGGTGAGTCGAGCATCCCACGACACTGCAGATACGTCTTCTCAGAGGAGTGCTGTTCCAGAAAACGAATGTTTTTGCACTCAAAAGTAATGTTGCCATTGAGCTGACGACGACTCACGCTCGGATAGGATGCTTTCTGACGTGTTTTGACTTGGCAACGATGTGCAGGAAAATCAGTGTGGTCTGTCTCCAAGGTGACTCTTGCCTCCAGTCAGCAAGCCGTTTCTCATCTTGCCCACTCTTATGGAAATGTAGTGTCTTCCTGTTGGCTCCGTTGTTTATTCTAGCAGGTTTCAGATCAAGCATACACCTTCCCCACAGACACTTGGTGTTGTGCAGTTGTAGTTCTTTATTTCCTTAGCCCCGTCCTGACTCTGACAAAATGAACCGGAGGAAAGCAGCCTCACAAGACAGGAGACCTCTCATCCACGCTGTCCTTTTCAGCCATTTTTATTCTACGGCAGCACGTGAGAATCTTCACAAAGTTCAGTTCCCCATGGGAAAAAAACTTTCCTTCTCTCAGAATCACCCCGCCATTTCTTCAACAGGGCAGGTCCTGGTCCTATTTTCTGATTTTTATCTTTTGTATGATTGGCTCGTTACAAATTTTGGGCTCACTTATTTAATGTATTTGTTGCAATAAACTGCCCTGTCTCCCAGGAGATCTAAGTTGTGGCCACTGACTCCAAGGCAAGTCTGGAACATAAAAAAAAAAAAAAAAAGATGAGTTTAATTGTCCAATCTTTAATGGCAAATTATTTGACAGAATTAAAGGTTGAACTGAAGCTATAACTGATTCTATAACTGATAGCTGTGTTTATTCAGGAGTGCTATGGTTGAATGAAACTTAATCCCCACTTTCCAGTGTTGATGGTTTTTGCAGGTTGGGGCCATTAGGTAATTAGGATTAAATGAAGCCATGAGAGATGGGCCTGATGGTGGCGTTGATAGCTTTATCTTAAGAGAGAGGCCTGAGCTATTGTTGTGGCTCCAGTTTGCCATGCGTGATCTGCTAGGCCCTCCCCAGCTCCTAGCATCATGCTTTCTGTCTGTCTAGCCTCCAGAACCATGAGCTAAATTAGCCTCTCTTTCCAAGAAGTAAACATAGTAACAGAAATGAAGAAGACAAAGCCTGGTAGCTCTTTAATCTTTAAGACCTTAGAACCCTAAGTTGAACCCAACATGTGTTGTGTTACTTTGACAAGTCTATGTGTGTCTGTGTTTCTGTCTTGAGACAGGATCTCTCACTGGTTTGGAGCTTAAGAAGCATGGTAGGTTGGCTGCCCATTCCGTCCCCTCCCCAGAACTGGGATAACAAATGCGTACCGCCGTACCTGGCTTCTGTGGCTCCAACTCCTCACTTGTGGTATCTCCCAAGTTCCAAGCTTGACAAAGTTTTAAAAGCAGGCTAGAGAGCAGCACCGCTGCTGTGTACACACAATAAAACCACAACTCAATCTCTTATCTGAGTTACGGCTAACTGTGTATTGTAAATTGCAAATAACACTGAAAATCTTTTCATAGCAAAACATGTCGTATCCATGTAAGTAGAAAACATAAGTAGCATGAAGAGCTCTCACGTGGTGGTCACATTGCTCCCTCGACAACCTGTAGCCTCTACTCTGCTCCTTCTCATTCCATTCTTCTGTCCTCCATTGACCATGTTCAAACAAAACAAACAGCAAGGGTGATACACTTGAAAAAGACAAAGAGCTTGGTCTTTTCAGGTAAAGTGAAAGTTGCTAGTGCACGCTCCTTCCTGGTATGTGCTCCTTCCTGGTATGTGCTCCTTCCTGGTGCTCCTTCCTGGTGCTCTATAGAACCCCAAAGCAGCTCTGCCAGAGGATTGCAACTCAAGCTTTGACCTGTGTGTGGTCTGTATTATTTCTGGTTGCTGTTGACAGGCCTTTTTTGCCTGTTAGGTGTGCTTTCTGGAGGACCATGTGGGTCCCTCCAACATGAGACGTGTTGAGAGATAACGTTGCAGAGACTCCTCTTAGTTTGCTGTGTGTGATTTGTATGGAACATTGTGATTACCTCCAGGCGGTAAAAGAAGACCCGAGATAGAAGAAGGCAAAGATGCCCTCTTTGCTACTGGTTTGAACTGGGGGCACTTGTATGAATTTTCATGTGTATGTTCCCTGTTGCCACCCCGCTCTGCCAACTTGAATCCTTGGAAAGGGCCTAGCAGCCATAACTCACTAATCCTAAGCATACCCGAGGCCCTTTGATCTTCGTTCCTAAGTACTTTTACACACAACCGGGGATATTTAGGGTGATGGTTCCAGATCTGAAACAGACAGAGGACAAGGTAAGCCTGAAACATCTCCACCAGGCAGAAAAGAGACATTCCCCGAGACTGATGGGACAGAAAAGTTGACCTGAAGGTACAAATTTGGATTGGTTTAAGAAAATTAAAAAAACAGTGCTGGTAATGGATTATAGGACATTTTAAAAATAACCAGTAAAATCATAGATTTTAAAGAGGAACAGAATGCTACAATTTTCTAAAATGTAAAAATAATTGCCAGGAGGAAACACTTGATATGCACAGCTTTTTGTTGAGTTAGTCCTGAAATTTGCTTTGTTCTATGAAGTGGCAAGATAGAGGCAGCTGGATTCTGTCCATTTTGTCTTGAACTCAGTCCTTGGTAGACAAAGGAGATAGAAAACTTCTTGACCTTTATTATATAAAGTTTAAGTTATATACTCAGGCTGGTGAGATAGCGCTGAAAGTAAAGGCGCTTACTGCTAAGTCTGGGGCCATGATGGGTGGAGAGAACCAGCTCCCCAAATTCCTCTTCTCTTCCACATATAAGCTGTAACACATGTACACGCACACATGCATACACATGCTAAAGAAATATAAAATAATGGCTGCATAGTCTTTCACCTTTTATTTTGCCTTTTAAGCTACAGCCACATATCAGACCAAATTAGCTTAGCTGCTGATGTAACTCATCAGAAATATGACAGTTGACATCACCTTTCAGTTGAATAATAATGGAATTTCTCTCCTGACGCAAACATTTTTATTTTTATTTTTATATTTCCTCCAAAGTATCCTGAAGTGACATGACTTCTTAATGCTGCCCTGTGGCACCTAAATCCTGTCTAACCTGAGCTCCCACATCCGACACTTCTCAGATCTCCCTTCTGTCACTTAGCTCAGTGTCACAATCAGCTTGAATCTAGGGGACTCGGCCAGCCATCATTCCTGCTGCCTAGACTTGTGAGCACAGTGACCTGAAATGGGTGCTCCTCATTGACTACAACAGAAGCCAAGTGCGCTCTGCCAGCATTAAAGGTTTTCCTTTTTGAAGATGCAGCGTTTAAATCTGTGGTGTGTTTTCAGCTCTTTGTCCCTAACAGACAATCTGAGAAAAACAATTTAAGATTTCTTTGGCTCAGAGGTTTCAGTCCATGATCGCTTGTCCCTGCTGTCCCTAGGCTGTGGTAGGCAGAACATCATGACAAGAAGCACGTGGAAAACCAGAGGTAGGCAGGAAGGATGAGGGAGACAGAGCTGGGAGAGAGGTCAGACGACATATACACACTTCAAAGTCATGCCACCAGTGACCAGGCTCAAAACATGCTCACACCCCACGATTTCTATTTCTTGACAGTCCAAATCAGTTTTATCTCTTTTAATGCATTAATCTTCTTCATTGCTTCAGAACTATTTGGTTTTTATTTTAATTTTATGCTTTAAAAAAAAGTGAAATACCAACTTTCCCTGCACTCCCCCATTGCAATTCCCTTCTGACATTGTGTGTGTGTGTGTGTGTGTGTGTGTGTGTGTGTGTGTGTGTGTGTTATGTTTAACTCACTGTTCATGTGTGTGGGTATGGGATCATCTGCTGGAGCACAGAACTGCATCTCTGAAGAAAACAGACTCTTCCTCCCCAAGAAGGGATTTCCTGACTCCCTCACCCACCTATGTTAGGACTTTTTTGGTTTGATTATGTGTGTACTCTCCCAGATGTTGTGTGTTCATGTGTGCCATGGCCTTCTTATGTCCAGAAAACAATGTTGTTTTTTTGCAGTAATAATTACCTCTACTCTT